GTACATTCTATGTGAATTGTACTAATACATAATTTGATACTCTCAGGTGCTAACCTGCCAAAGTATAATTGCCTCAAAGGTACACACATTGTATTTACTGTCTTGATAACTTACTGTGTGTAAGTTCTGTGATTAAATTTGATTGCATGCTTAGTGTTATGCATAATTAAATGTGTTTAATTTTGGTTGATATACTTCTGTACATATCACACTTAAGCACTATTATATATATATAGTCTGAAATTGGAATAATAGGACAGTAAACCTTGTGACATAGTGTTGACTGAATAATCACTGAGATATATCTGCTTTATTATAACTTGTGAAAAATAACATACTCCTGCACAATATGAACTCTAAGGTAGATGTCCAAATGTAGGATGGCAAAGGAGACTTTAGTCTCTGGCGTCAGAAAATTAAAGCACTGTTGTTACAGTTAAAATGTGTTAAGGCTATTGATGAATCTTGGCCAGAAACCTTATCTGAAGCTAGAAAAACTGAACAAAATGAATTAGTCTGGAGCACTTTATTCCTACATGTGTTTGATACTGTGATTAGGAAAGTAGGAGAAACTAAAACTGTTGAAAAATTATGGACTGCTTTAGAAAAACACTACCTTACAAAGATTGCGCCAAATAAATGTTTTCTTTGGAGATAGTTTTTTAGTTTTAAGTTTGATCCTAATCTTGATACATGAGATAATATGGATAGGTTTAATAGGATCACACAAGACTTAGCAAACTGTGATGAGAAAATTTCTGATGAACAGAAGGTAGTTGGCTTACTAAATGCTCTAGGAGACAAATATAAAGATATTAGAAATGCTCTAGAGTATGATAGGAGTGACCTCACTGTTGAAATAATTCACAGTTCTCTTCTGAATAAAGAACTTGAATTAAAATCTGAACACAAAGAAGTGTACCATGTTGAGGGTATGTCATCAAATCAAAAAACTTATCCTAAAGGAGTAAGTAACTTCAGTCATTCCAATTTTAACAAGAATAAAATTTTTAACAAAAGACAGTGGAATAACATCAAAGGAAAAGGCAAGAAACCAATCAAAGGAAAACAAAACAGCAACAATAATAGAAAATGCTTTTATTGTGGAAAGACAGACCACTTTATTAAAGACTGTTTTAAAAGGCAAATGACCAAAAGAATGGGTTTAATACTGAAAATGCTTCTTTAGCTGTTGCTGCTAATTATAAAGAAGCAGGAGCTAATATTGGAGTAGCTTATGCATCTATATCTGAGAATACTGATCAGGACTGGGTCCTGGACTCAGGGTGTTCCTTTCATATGACATCCAATATTAACTGCATCTCAGACTTTTGTAGTCTGGAAGGAAGATTTGTAAAACTTGGGAATGATAAGTCATGCCAAGTTAAGGGAATTGGAAATGTGCTGTTGAAATTTAAAAATGGTCATCACATGTTATTAAAACATACAAGATATGTACCAGCACTTAGAAGAAATCTCATATCCCTAGGAGTTCTTGATGATGAAAATTACAAAATTGGTATTAAAAATGATTTTACAAATATAATAAGAAATCAAGAACACATTATCAGTTCTCATAAGCTTAATAGAATCTATGTAATAGGTGCTAAAACCATTTCACCAAAAAATTCTGTGAACTCTATCACACAATCCGATAAATCAGAACCGTGGCATAAAAGACTTGGCCACTTAAGTGAAAAAGGTTTAAAAACATTATTATGTCAAGGGCAATTTGGAAAAGATAGCGTTTAGAAATTGACCTTTTGTGAACACCGTATCTTGGGAAAACATGTAAGACTTTCTTTTAAGGTAGGGCTGCACAAATCCCAACATGTCCTTGAATACATACATTCTGATTTATGGGGACCAGCACCTGTTTCTACTGTATCTGGTTACAGATATTATCTTCTTATAACCGATGACTATTCAAGAAAGACATAGATTTTCTTACTAAAATCCAAATCTGATACTTTTGCAATTTTCAAAGAATGGAGTGTTCTAATTAAAAATCAGATTGGTAAGAACATAAAAATTTTAAGAACTGATAATGGCCTTGAATTCTGCAATACAGAATTTGACCAATATTGCAGTAAACAAGGGATAATGAGACATAAAACTGTGAGCTATACTCCACAATAGAATGGAGTTGCCGAGAGGCTTAATAGGACAATTCTTGAAAGGACCAAATGTATGCTAATCAGTTCTGACCTTCCAAAATTTTTTTGGGGTGAAGCTGTAAAAACAGCATGTTATCTTATAAATAGATGCCCCTCCAACTCTCTAAATAACAGAATTCCCCAACAAATCTGGTCTGGTTCAATGCCAGATTACTCTCATCTAAGAACTTTTGGATGTGCAGCCTATGCACATCATACTGAGACAAAATTGGACCCTAGATCATTGAAAGGTGTGTTCTTAGGATATGGAGAAGGTGTTAAAGGCTATAGATTGTGGTTAAGAGATGTGAGGGGTTATAAGGTGATAACAATCAGATCTGTTATCTTTAATGAAAATGATTTCCCTTGTCTTAGTGACAAATTCAGTGAGAAATTGGGAAAGGATGACTTCATTATCACAGAAATTAATTTTGATAGCCACAATACTGATGACTAGGCTCAGCTTGAGGTGGAGCCACATCAGGTAGTACCCCAAAATAACTCTGATGCTAAAATAATTGAAGATGAACAGCATCTGGAGCCTGCACATGATCTGCAGGGCTACCAACTTGCTAGGGACAGAGAAAGGAGGGAAATAAGACCTCCAACCAAGTATCAACATGCTGATTAATCAGATCAGTTTGACTTAGAGTCAGCCTCTTATGAAGAGGCTATATCTTCCAAAGAATCCCCTAAGTGGATTGCTGCGATGGAAGATGAAATGAACTCACTCTTTAAGAATGAAACCTGGACTTTAATTGAAAAACCCAAAGATTGTAAGTTGATTGACTGTAAATGGGTTTATAAGATTAAAGAGGGTGAGACAAAGGTTAGTGATAAAAGGTTTAAGGCAAGACTTGTAGTTAAAGACTTTAATCAAAGGGAAGGGATAGATTACAATGAAATTTTTTCACCGGTTGTTAAATATACATCCATTAGAGTCCTACTTGCTATAGTGACACAATTTGATTTGGAGTTAGAACAACTTGATGTAAAAACTGCCTTCCTGTATTGTTCTTTAGATGAAACCAGACATATGAACTAAGAGGGTTTGAAGTGGTAGGAAAGGGAAACTTAGTGTGTCTCTTAAAGAAATCCTTATGTGGCCTAAAACAGGCTCCTAGGCAGTGGTATAAAAGATTTGACTCTTTTATACAAGGCTTGAACTTTAGGAAATGAGAATATGATCCCTGTTTCTATTATAAAAAAGAAGGGGAATCTGATTTTTTCTATTTGCTTTTGTATGTTGATGATATGCTCCTTGTTGGTCACAATTCTGTTACACTTAACTCAATTAAAGAAAATCTAAAATCTGAATTTGAAATGAAAGATTTAGGACCAGCTAGAAAGATTTTGGGCATGGAAATAAAAAGAGATAGAATAAATAGAAAGTTGTTTCTAACGCAAAAATCTTATATTGATAAGATTGTAAAAAGGTACTCCCTTCATAAGTCTAAGCCTGTAAGTTTGCCTCTATCTGCTAGTATGAAACTATCTATTGGTCAATCGCCTAAAATTGAAGAAGAGCATAAAAGAATGATAAATGTGCCTTATTCTAATGCTGTTGGATCTGTGATGTATGTTATGGTTTGCTCTAGACCTGATATTGCTTATGTCGTGAGCGTGTTAAGTAGATTTATGAGTAACCCAGGAGAAATACATTGGCAATGCATGAAAAATCCGATTAAGTACTTGAAAGGAACAAATAACTTAGGTCTAATGCTCAAAACAAATAAAAATGGATTTAGACTTAAGGGATATGTAGATTCAGATTTTGCTGGTAATCCGGACAATAGGAAGTCCACAACTGCATACTTTGTAATAAATGATACATGCATTAGCTGGAAATCTCAGCTTCAAAAACTTGTTGCATTGTCCTCAACCGAGGCTGAATACATTGCTACAACGGAAGCAGTGAAAGAAGGATTGTGACTGAAGGGTTTACTCAGTGAATTAGGTCTTATTGAAATCAGGTGGAGCTATGTTCAGACAACCAAAGTGCTATTTTTCTAAGTAAAAATTCTATCTTGCATGATAGATCAAAACATATAGATGTAAAGTTTCATTTTATTAGAGATATCATTGATAGGGGTGATATTAGACTAATAAAAATACCTACTAAGGTAAATCCAGCAGATGCCGAAACTAAGGTAATTCTTATTAGTAAGTTCGTTGATTCTTTAAGATTAATTAATCTTGAAGAAGACTAACTTCCATTATTTTTGTTTTTACAGGTAATGAGAGCAAATGAAATTGAGGTATAAGCTTAAATCCACATTAAAGTAGGTACAAAACAGCAAAGGTGGAGAATATAGAAATGGGTTGCTGTTTTTATGTGGAAGCCCAGCCCAAATTTAAGGACTTGGCCCATACCCGGTCCAATGACCCAAAATGAAGGAAGAATCTCGAAGCTTGAAATGGTTTTGAGAAAACGCATTTTCAGTTTTAAAATAACAACTTATACTAGATTTTTAACACTTGGCAAAATGGAGACCGTTGGATCAAAATGGGGCATCTCTCTTATAAAAGGGAACTTTAGGGTTTGAGGCTCTCTCTCTCGTGCAGCTTCTATATTTTTCATATTGTTCTCTCTGTAATGAGTGATTCTCTCTTGGATCTTTGTGATCTTTGTGTAGATTTCTGTAAAGAGATTGAATCTTTATGAACTCTTGTGTGAGTTCAATTCGGTGTTGAGGGTTTTGATAGTTGCTGTGGTTGAAATTGTGTGTTCTGTTTGTAATTGAAGTTTGTGGTATTTGGCAGGTGATTTTTAGTGGATTTGAGCCTATTCCTTATGGATGCTCAACGGGGACTAGGCGATTTGTTAAATCGCGGAACCTCGGGGTTTCAGTCGAAAAATCTTGTGTTCTCTTTACTATTTTTACAGATCAATGTCCGTACTTGATTTTTGCCTCAAATATTTTTCGGTCTCCATACTTTCCTTAACCTACAGCCCTTCATGTAAATTGTGGTCGAGGGTGTCTCAAAGATTCTCAGCAATCTTTTATCTTGTACACGCTGGAACCCTTTCATCTTCCCTCCTTTAAAGCTTCACTTTTGAAACTCCAAAACCCTTGTCACACATGAATTGAATTTAACTTGAACCAACGTTTTAAGAATTGAATTATCAATGGCTACAATTTCAAGATTTTTTGCTAAAGATTGTAGATTGCAGCAATGTGACGCTCTTCAGAAGCTAAACTGTGGTCTTTCCGCCAGAAGGCTGCACAGCTATCAGAGTACGTGTAATTTGGCTCTCTGGTGCAATTGATGTATCCTTCAAGACCTTCACTCTTGTGGGCTGGTTTGACATTTTGATATTAAATGGATAGATTAACTATTTTGTTATGTAGATTTCAGGTGTGAGCTTATTACATCCGAGAGTGACAGAAGTAATTTGGCTATTCATAGCAAACACCAGAGTTCTGTTACTGCTGTCTCGTTGCCGTGGACATCTGCTTCTAGGTATGTTTTTATTTATGAGAGAAGCTAGAATCACATATTCTTGTTTTTTCATGTTGGCTTATGCGACAAAAGGCGAAAAAATTCTTTTGAAGGAAAGAGTTGTTGTATGTTAACTTGGCAATCTTAATTCAATAACTTGGATATGAAACAGCTAAAGTAGTAAGCTCAAATGCCTGATGAATTGAATGTTATGCATTCAGTAAGAAAAATTCAACTACAAATAGGTAAGATATATACAAGCAAAAAACCAGTCAACCACGGACAAGATAAATGATATAATTATGTGATGTACAAGAGCAAAAGAAAGGCCCCATAAAGATGAAAGAACATACCTGATATTTTGGACATTTTCACCCGGATTTCTTGTCCCTATAAGTCATGCACATGGTTCTATTGGAAACTCTTTCTATTCCTTTATTATTGTGGACACCAAAGACAAAAGGTAGCCACTCCATTTATACTTGAAGGACTTCAAAATGAAAACCGTTATGATATTTGATTAGTTAGTGTCATAATATAAGGCCTTAAAAAAATCTTGTGACACCCCTTTTCAGTAAGTAAAATTCATTCAGATGATACCCCAGTAATGGATAGTGCTCCTGATTAACCTTTCTATGCTTTATCTACAGCACTATGGCCATTCATGCTTATTTTATGTGTCACATTACCTTATCAGGAATCCGAATCACTGTATCGTTTCTATAAACATCTCCAAAACCTAAAAACCCTTGTAAGAAGTAGAATTAGGGAATTGGTTCAGGAGCATTGACTTCAATTGTGGTGGCATCTCAAAGATTTTAAGGTCTGGAGCTATGTGCTTCTCAGTCTTATTTTTGACCAGATCCTATAGAATGTGACCAAATTTTGAATCGTCATAACCCAAAAAATCCTTAGAACAGTTTTGTTCTTTTGTTGTCAACCCTGCTTCTTCCATTCATGTACATAAGCAAACATTTTGAGAGGAGTTTTTTTTTTTTTTGAACCTAACCTAACCTCTATTGGGAAAATACCAAAACAACGGAGTTTTTTTTCCCGAAATCTTTTCTCGAATGTTACGAGGAGAGCATCTCAAGGAATTGTTTTCTAAAACATAAAATTGGAGGAAAGAGCAAGAAACTAGGAAAATAATTATTTTCCATTTGTTTAGTCGAATTTTAGGTTTGAAAAATTTGTGATGATATGTCGTCAGATTTGTGAAATTCTATTTCTTGGAGATCTATACATATAACATGCTGAAAATAGAAAATTTTGTTTCCTTGAGAAATTTTCTTGGAATTCTAGGTTTCTCATTATTATTATTATTACTTTGAGTAGTGTGTAACCTGCTTAAAATAACAAGAGAATGAATGAAAAACTACAAGCATTAGTCCACCGTTGAATGTTCTTATTTTTATCTTTCTGCTTTGACCATTTCTCATGTTAACATCCTGACATTGTTTACCTAATCATACATTTTGTTACGGAGATTTTCTGTTGTTTTTGCTGCTATTCTAAATAAGAAATGCTGGTTTAGCTTATAAAAATGTCTTCGAAACCTTTATCTCACTTTATTGTTGATCCTATTCCTAGACATTGCTTTTGTCCCTCATAATTGATGATGAATGGAATATGTCAAAATACTCTCTTTCTTTTACTTTTTCAATGATTCATTTTGGGCATGGCAATCACAACCGTATAAGACTATGATTAGGAATTCAAGAGTTTATTGCAAGGCAGCCACCTCTGGAGATTTTACAGACAATACTAGTAAAACGAGCCAATATGAGAGAATTATTGAAACGTTGACAACTCTCTTTCCTGTGTGGGTATGTTCATGCTTTGTAAGAGTAAAAATCCATTCTTTTCCCTTTTTCCCTCTATGTCGTCCTTGGAAGAAGTTATATCTTTGAAAGATTCACATTCACATTTCAGTTCTACTGACTCTCTGCAGGTCATATTAGGTACCATTATTGGCATTTACTAGCCTGCTGCGGTAAGTTTTTGCATTTGCAACTGCTGAAATTAATAATTATCAATTTGTTGAATCTTGGAGTCTTACAGGTTACTTGGTTAGAAACAGACCTATTTACTGTTGGTCTGGGTTTCCTCATGCTTTCAATGGGATTGACACTTACATTTGAGGACTTTAGACAATGTTTACGCAATCCTTGGACTGTAAGTAGCAAATTATATGTAATGCAGAAGAGATTCTGATATTGAGGAGATGAATACTTTTGTTGATCAATTTGAGAGAAATTGTTGGTTGTGGTTTTAGGTGGGTGTAGGGTTTTTGGCACAATACATCATTAAGCCCATGTTGGGCTTCTTCATTGCAATGGTAAATCTTCATCGGCTACTTGTTGACAAATTGCATATAGTAATCAAAGATCATGTATGAGCTCCTAGGATTATGACTGAACATTCTTTTATTCGACTCCGTTGGTTTAGAGGATGTTTTAGTCTCACTTTCCACCTGTCCAGATATTGATGAGATGTCTGAAAAGTCTAAAGCTTTATTAAAGCTCCATAGAACTGGAGATAGTTAAATAGAAGCCTGAGTAGTTCCACTTTATTCTGCAAAAGCTAATACAGTTAGCATCATATATATAAAATATATCCTCGTCAATTGTCTTCTGAGTAACTCAATGTTTGCGGAAAGCCTTGTTCTCTGTGGTTTATTAGCTGGTTTTCCAAAGAAGTTTTAGATTTGCTAACCTAAATATGCTATTAATTCCTTCTAATAGCAGAAGTTATTGTATTTTCTTGTTCTAACTTGCCTACTGGTCTGCAATGATCAAGTGTGCTTCTTAATTCTTCTTTAGGAACCACTATGCTTTTCTTTTCTCATATGTTGTTGGACAATATGTCAAATCATAACTATTCATTTTCAATTCTGTTTTCAAGATTTCATCCTCCATAAATTGCTAAATGTTTCTGCATTGATCTACAGACTCTGAAATTGTCGGCTTCTTTAGCAACTGGTCTCATTCTGGTTTCATGCTGTCCTGGAGGTCAGGCATCAAATGTTGCTACATATATATCCAAGGGCAATGTAGCACTCACGGTTCTCATGACAACATAAGTTAGCTTAAAGCCTTTTCTCATTGCCTTGTTGGAACGCGATAATCTGTATAGCCTCTTCATTTTACATTCTGTATAATTCTGATCACTGCGAGTCAGACTCAATAGAGTCTGATTGTAAGTGGTTACAGTTTGAGTATTCGAGACCTATGGAGAGGCTAGTTAGAGAGAAGGGCTACTCTATATCACTACACTGGCTGGCATAATTTTTTATCCACAATACAATTATATCTCATTATTTCATGGAAAAGAAAGAGAATAATATGAAAAGAATGAACTGACTTTGTTCCAAATTTTAACAGCTCACTGGATCTTCCCTTTTCTTGAATATATGGACTTCAAATACAAACATGAGGCAATTATTAAAACCGCACAAACAAGCAGTTGATTTATGCATCTGCGAGTAAATTTCAACCATTGTAGATTTCCATAGAGGGACTGATACACTGCTGACAGAGTCGATGGTCTGGAATGGTCTTGATGGCAATGAAATGTGGATTATGAGGGAAGGTGTCTCTATTTGATGCTTTTTATAGGCCATGATAAATTATCTATGGCAGTGTACGAGACTATGGCCATGGTGGTGGTAGCTGTCATGATGCTAATTGAGACCTATATTTGCTTGTTTAAGACATGAGTGTCATGAGAGAACGACTTGAATGATGTGATGAACCCGAGAAATAACAAAATATATTGCGTTTCTCACATAACAGTGTTTATATCTGTATCCGTGCCTATAATTTGTGACTGTTCTTGTGTGTATTTTAAAGAGCACGTATGAGATACACAATTTATAAACCCAAAGTCACAAAGCTCATTACATCGCTGACCTTGAAATCAAAGTGTACATTATCTGCCCTTCATACTAATCCAATTTAATGTACTTAGAGCTTACTTAGAGAATACATTATCCTTCTCCCAGTTATAAAAATACAGTATATATAAACTCACAAAATCAAACAGTGAGCAAAATACTATTTTAAAGTCTAAAATCCAACTATTTTCAATTTACTATGATGCATGGAAACTCCTACTTGGGGGCATGTTTGTGCCGATATCCGGATACTCCATGTCATGGATCTGACAAGCCACATGTCGTAATCCTATTTTTTTTGAATTTCTAACTGTTAGAGAGATACTTTAGAGAGATTCCTTGGGCAAATATTCAACATGGCATGTATCATATTTTATATTAAAAAGTGGTAAAAATAAAGATATCATATATAATTAAATTTTAAATAACTTAAATCAATGTGTCCCCGACGTGTGCTTGTCCTACATTTTAGAAAAATCATGGGTCATCGAGTCCATGTTTCACTTAGCCCACGTATTTTTTAAGAAAACATATACATAATTCAAGTGGTATACATAATGTAGTACATGTGCTCTGGGGGCAGTGGTAGATCCGGCAGATAGTTATTATTATTTTCTTTTCCAATATTTTTCTCATACATAGTGCTTGTTTGGATAAAATTATTCCCCTCTTCGGTGTTGGATTAAAATGAGATTTTTAATAGATTTTGATGAAATTTGATGAAATGTGTGGTTTAAAAGTTATGATTCCCATGAAATGTTTGGTTAAAATTAATAGTTGACTTTGACTTGGAATTTTAGTCGATTTTAATATACAACAAATAGGGGTTATATGTTGCTAAAATTTTAATGTGACATAAGTGTGTAATAGTTGTAGCTTTGCAAAATGTGGTTAGAATTAACGTTTAACTTTGAACATTAAATTGTAAGGAAACTATAATGTTTCCAAAACATGCACTTATTGTAAAGAGGACGGTTCATACTTGGGTGCAGAGATTAACCTGCTAACTGCGCTGTGTTAAATTCATGTCAAAAATAAGAAAAACTAAATGAATCGGAAAGGAATTCCCCCATACAAATATTCAAGATGTAACATTAAAAGTGGTAATCCCGACATCTAAATGGCAGGGTCTAATATTTAAGCATGCTTCACAAGAAAAAGTTGACGATATGCATGTGGAATATGACTATGTTTCTGTTGTTTTTTCAGTTGTTCAACCATTGGTGCTATTGTGATGACACCGCTCCTCACTAAGCTTCTTGCTGGTCAGCTTGTGCCAGTTGATGCAGCTGTAAGATTTTAGATATTGATTTACCTCAAAAAAATGTAATTGTCAATTCTGCATACAACTTGCTTGTATCCTAGAGATACCTATAGCAGAATGATTCACTTGTGCATGTATACACAAGGCAGGATAATAGAATAAAAATGTATCAGATCGGGCAAGTTTCAGAAGTTCTGAAAACTCACGGCGCACAATTGCTGTTGCCAGTGGCCCTGTTACACGTTGCAGCATTTTTTCTTGGTTAATGGATTTCAAAAATATCATTTGGTGAATCAACTTCTCGTACCATTTCTATAGAATGTGGAATGCAGGTATATCCCATCATAGTTTGTCTTTGATTCCATAGATTTGTTTTATTGTGTAATGACATGGTTTATTTTGAATCGTAGATGTACTCTGCAAGCTGCATATAATTGATTTGATGTCTTCATCTAGCTCAACTTATCATTTTGTTTCTCATTTTTACTGCTTTGAGAGTGTTGAATGACGTCTAAGAAGCTTGTTATCTTATGGCTCTAGATGATTGATCTTTTACGGCATATGCTTCCCTGCTGCCAAGGAGCACAAGCATTAATGTTATAATTATAAGAGTAAGCTGTGAGGCTTATAAACGCGAATTTGGAAATGCTGAATCAATCTGGATCCCATGCTGAATTTGTGGATTATAGCTGAAGTATGAAGCTTATAAAGGATGATTAACCCTCTATTATAAGTGTTTAAACATTCCTACACACATAAGAATTTAATCAAAATCTAATCTAAGTGAGAAACTATGCCTTTGTTTGGTAGAAATTAAAATTTAGGTTTTAATCTAAGTCAAAGTTAATAATTAATTTTAACCACATATTTCGCCCCCGTTTGGCTCCCATTAAATTACATTACATTACATTCTATTTTTCTCTCTCCTATTTTCAACAACACAATCTTCCATAAAATAATATTACACGTAAATCGAAAACTTTTCCTTCTTTTTCAACCACTCATTTTTCAAAAAAATATTATTCCTCCCATTTTCATTACCAAAAAATGGGGATCAAACGGGGGGCTTCATAAGACCTACAACTTTTTAGCTACACATTTCATCAAATTTTATCAAAATTTACTAAAAATTTGATTTTGATCCTCACAAAACAGGGGTTATATAAGGTAATAATCATAATTTAGAATAAATTATAATTAAAGAAATCCTAATTAATTTAATTCTCTTTTTGCCTCAAATAAAATTTTAATGTTGTATCATTTCTCCCTCGGCTCAAAAGAACTTGACTCGGGCAAGTTATAGTCAAGGTAGGCATCAAATAGCTCTGCATCTAGTTGGCAAAACTCATCTCCATTAATACAAGTAGTATCACTAGAAGCAATATGAAAAATGACCAACTAAGCCTCCAGCATGTAATTCCCATATGAAAAAGTCACGAAGTGAGGCACGAGAATACAACTTGGTTCTCTCGAAAAGTTCTCATTTTTAAGAAAACAACATGATCACGAGAGGGATTGTTTAAGAAATCCTAAAACATAATGTGAAAATCGAGACAACTCGGATATTAATCTTTCAAGCTCTTAAAACATGCTATGATATTGCTTATAGAATGAAGCACAATAATAAGATAATTAAGAGCATCGGGAGTTTCTTTCTCGACTAGTGCATGATGGTGGAGGAAAAATGTGTATTATTGCAGGAATTTCACCCACTTAACATGTTGTGCACTCAAATTATTCTGGGAATTGAAATAATGATGTTGACACATAAAAATTCAGCCCAAATCGAACAGCCCAAGGAGTAAAGCCCAATTGAAGGATCCCCAAATCGGATAGCCCAAAGAACGAAGTCCAATCGAACGAATCAAGGTGAAGGCCCAAATAAGGGGCCCAAGAATGCGGTAACGCCATCACCCAAGTTTGCAAGTCGCCCAGAATCTGAACGAATGGAGTGTCATACGGTCGCCCAGAGCTGTTATTCTACTCTCGTCCAAACCCTCAAGTCGCCCAAGGTATCAACAAATATAACGCATCGTGGTTATCAAGAAATGTAGTTATCAAGGCAGTTGTTAAAGTAGCCTTATCACGTTCCACGACTCAAGGAATTCAATCGAAAGCAGTTGAACGATGAAAGAATTTGGCAGCAGTTAAAAGACAGTTTCATGACAAAATGGCCATTACAAAGAAAGTGGGTAGTTATAGGACGATCAAGCAGTTTTTAGGGTAGTTAATCACAAAGAGATCGTCTATGAGGTATAAAAGGGAGAAAGGACGCAGAAGCAAGGACCGAATCCAAAACTCTCGAAC